CCTATAAAACTGTCTTTACCTCACCCCGTGAGCTGCTCCACTTACATCCTTTGATTCTCTCTCCCCCCTCCCGCTGAGGAGAAGCAAGTGAGCAGCTGCCTGGGGCTTAGCTGGGGCTAACTCACAACAGCACGTTTCATGAAATAAAGGAAACATCAAGTTGAGTTAATGTAGTAGTTCCAGGGGTACGCCAAACACTGGTGTAATTTATTGGATGTTCAGGCTCCCAAGACTTGGATCATTGTGTTGCGGGGGGAGGGGGGGGAAGAGTGATTTTTGGTAGCAAGGGAAGGGGCTACAGTGATGGCACCTGCGTGACGCTTTGAGAAGCTCCCCTGGCTCCAAGGCAGACCTGCCTCCAGCCCAGGCTAAGCCAATAACTAACAGGCAAACATCTTTTCAAATCCATATTTATGAGGGGAAGAAACAGTTTGGCAAGGAAGGAGAGAGCCATCAGGAGACCACTGACTTGAGCAAAAGACATCAATGTTGGAGGGGAGACAGAGAACTAGAGCCACCCAGGTCAGCAAGAAGAAGAGTTGGGGCGGGGAGGGTGGGGGGTAAATGGAGTTTACCACAGCCCATGCAGCTTCAACAGCAGAGCAGATACCCATGTGTAGAGCCCATGTCAGAGCAGGAGGCTGTGCCCAAGGGCAGCTGTGACTACCTTGAGAGCTCATGACAGAGCAAGAAGACCGCAGAGATGCTCACACCAGAGCATGGCGGGAGGAGGTGCACTGGACCAGAGACCTGTCTCCAGCCTGTTAAGGTGCCTATGCCAGAGCCAGGGGATGTGCACAAAGAAGTCTGTGACCCCCTGGGAAGCCCGCATTGTAACACTTTGTTCCTGAACTCTGTTAGCCTATGGGAGGGACCTCATGCCAGAAAAGAGCAGCGTAAGTGAACTGACTGCAACTCCCATTCCCTGTCCCCTGTGCTGCTGTGGGAGGGAGAAGGTAGAAAAATGGGGAACAAAGTGATTTTGAGCCCAGGGGGGCAGTGTTATAAGATGTAGTTGTTACGTCTCAATATGCTACTCTGATTGGTAACAAATTAAATTGATTTTTCTGCCCCAAGTCAAGCCTGGTTTGCCCATGACCATAATTGGTCAGTGAATCCTCCCTGTCTTCATTTCAACCCATGAGCCCTTTGTTGCATTTCTCTCCACATCTCACTGGGTGGGCGGGCAGTGAGTGAAGAACTGCATGGTCTTAGCTGAGGCTGAAACCACATCAATCACATAATCATGTCCTTTACTATCTACCTCAGAAACTTCAGTAACAGAAGGCCCAAACCAGTAAGCCAAGCACTGATTCCTCTAATGCCTACAGCTGAGAATCACGACAAAATTATGCGAAAATGGAAGGAAAGCTTCGGTAGGATTTGTTACATGAATTTGGAATTACAATTCAAGCCATAGGTAAGGGGTAGAGGTTTAGAGTCTAAGCTGCTTTTTTAATGCAAGCATAACTTCAGGTTGAAATAGCAAAAGGCTCAGGTTCGCTAGTCTACAGGCTTTTCATCAACCAGACACCAGATGCAACTGATTTAGAAATCAAATTATCACCTATTAGGCACCCTTAAGCTAGACACAGAGCAGGAACATATACTGGGTGTATCCAGGTGCTGATCCTAACTTTTTTTTTCTCTCAGCACTACTGTGGAAATCCTCACAATACCCTCCCCTCTCAAGAGCACACAGCTGCCTCTGAAAGACTGCAAAGAAATCTGAAAATGATGTTGGGCATGTTGATAGGGAGAAGATATCTCAAACAAGATCTCTAAAGAAATCTCCAAGTGTTTGTGGTGCTCACCCAGTTATATGGTAGGGAAGTCCATGAGTCCTAGGACGCTAAATAACTAACAACAACAACAACAACAACAAACTATCAAAGCTGCTAAATTTAACGGTCTGGGGACCTGGATTTGAAGAGCCCCAAGTCATATAATGTGAACAGAAGAGTGGTCCCAGATATGCTACAAGGGTTGCTTGAACCCTAGCAGACAGCAACCTGAGCAGCAAAGGACTTAAAAATTCTCAAAAGATACAGTGTAGGGGCCTTCTACTAGAAACTAAAGGCTAAAATGAAATGACAAGTTCTGTGTTTTACAACTGTAAACAACCTTTCTGAAGGCTCTTGTCCATTGATATTCTGCTATCCAAAGTGCTTGAATTTAGTAACAAAAATTAAAAAGGTCATCCTCAGCAGTCTACAAGAGCTGCCCTGTTGGACCAGTGGGTCTTCGACAAGAAAACCTCCTCCAGCAAATACTTCAACCACTGAAGAATAGTATTTTTAAAGGTATTTGGTGGACAAAATTTGACCCTGTCCTGAATCAAGTTGCAATGCACTCTCATGGCTATTGCTGAACTCAGAGGCATTGGTCTTGCATTGTGCGTATCACTCTGGACATCCTTGACCAAGTGATCAAGAAGATGCCAAGACAGACCTGAGGAAATACTGTTTTTTCAAGACCAAATATTTTCTGAGACCATGCAATCATATTGACTTCAGCATACCTGCTACCTTGATATACACAGATTTCACGATGCTGTTCTTCAAATCTGATACGTGACAGAACGGCTTGAAACAGCTCAGCTCACCTTGCTTGCGTGTTCACAGAAACACAGAATGTCAGGGATTGGAAGGGACCTTGAAAGATCATCTAGTCCAATCCGGTGAGAGTTCCGAGCTCTCAGCAGAGGAAGTAGCTTTGCTAATGAGCACTTAAATTCAGTTACATCAACTACATTACTTCCTCACATGAGGAAGGAGATCCTACCACCCTGCCTCTTGAAACAGGATGCAATGGAGCTACTGTCCATCTTCATCTCTATGTGATGGCTTCATACAGCTGGGCAGGAAGTCTGGAAGGCTTTTCTCACTGTACTTCCAGGGGAATCCTTCAAATTTCAAATTCTCAGATCATCAAGATGAGTTCTCCTAACCCCAAAACAGGTAGCTGTTTTACAGTTTTCACTGGTGATACAGAATTATGATATGGAATTATTTTGAATAGTGGATATTTTACACAGTGATTGCACAAAGTAAAAGGCTTGAGAGGAAGAAGTGTGTCAAATAATTTTAAATCTCAAATTAGAATGCAATAGCCCTTCACAATTTTTTTCTGTCTTGGAAGTAGCTTTTAACAAATGGATATTCAAACAAATTGATTTAAAGCTGCAAATGAAAATAGGTTTAAGCATATTAAGAGAAAAAGCTGTTTTTTTCAGCTACAAGATCTCCTGTAACAGTAACAGTAGTTATTTGCTCTATATAATGAACCGCAGAGAAGGTTCATTATCAGGTATCAGCTGCATTTAAGCCTTTCTCAATAGATTCCCAATTCTTAAGTCATTATCCATGAAAAAGCTCACTTAACTTCCTTTTCTCCCTTTCAGAGGAAAGCATGTTGGTTTCTTTTGGCCTGAATCTTCATAACTGGATAAGACATCTATTCCAATAGCAAGGGGATTAATTTGGCTTCTCTGCCACTACATCTATAGCTTTCAAGTTTTTCTTTTCTTATTTTCCAGGGAAACTCCCCCTGCACCCAGATTGGGGATTTTTGGTTGGTTGGTTTGTGGGGTTTTTGGTGGGTTTTTTTTCCTGTGTGTGTGGTGATTTTTTTTAATCTTATTTTTGGGTTATTCTTCTCTCTCCACCTCCACTTGACTACTGGAAACTACCAAATTCAGTCTTCTCCCCCTCTAACTTGAGTCTCATTACAAATAAAAACAATTACAGAATATGAGACATCATTAGAATCATAGAATGTTGTGAGTTGGAAGGGACCCACAAGGATCATCAAGTCCACCTATTGCCCCAGCACAGGACAGTCGCAAGGTTCAGACCATGTGTCTGAGGGTGCTGTCCAAATGCCTCTTGAATATTATCAGGTTTGGTGCCAGGACTACCTCCCCGGGGAGCCTGTTCCAGTGCTCCACCACCCTCTGGGTGAAGAACCTTTTCCTAATGTCCAACCTCCCCTGGCACATCTTCCTGCCATTTTCCCCGGTCCTATCATTGGTCACCAGAGAGAAGAGATCAGCGCCTGCCCCTCCTCTTCCCCTTAAGAGGAAGTTACAGACTGTGATGAGGTCTCCTCTCAGTCTCCTCTTCTCCAGGCTGAACAAACCAAGCAACTTCAGCCTCTCCCCATACGGCTTCCCCTCTAAGCTCTTCACCAGTTTAGTGGCCTCCTCTGGAATTTAAACTTGAGGAACATACAAGGTTATTTCTCATTTAATACTATAGCAAAGTAGACACATAATCTGATGGTTCTCATCATACAGCTTTTGGGCTCTCCATATACATCTTTTGTTCTCAAACAGCCATTTTCAAAACATAGCTCTCTCCTATTTGCAAAGGAAAGGAAATATGCAAAGAAAGAAATTGAATTTGCCTCTCCCTTCCCAAGAAACCAAAACTAAACTACTTGTTGCTGCTGCAGAAACTTTTGGTATCCTTTTCTTTCTTATAAGAGTGTTTTTAGTCTAACTGTAGGCTGTTCAAACAAATACTGAATATCTGAAGATGTAATAGGGCAAAAATAAATGAATTTTAGAATATAAACATCTGTTTCAAAACTGCCATCACACAAAATTGGTGGCTGTCTAAAAATAATTTGATGTCACCAACTTCTAAATTAGGAAGAAGCTTGACCTTATCAATATTAAATACTTCTTTACTCAGATAAAAATTCAAAGTTTGGTCTAACTTATTTATGAACTTGAAAAACATCCACCTTAAGACAAAATTGACAATACACAAAAAATATAATTAACAAATTCTTTCTGAAAAGAAAAAAGCCTGATGCTAACTTCCTTTTTACCCCAAAGTAGTACTGGTAAACAAACATTAGAAATAAACAGTTTAAAATTAAATCCTAAGTATCTATGATATTTTACTGGGCATTACTCTGAAGCAAATAATGTTAAGGTCTAGAAAACATGCAATCCATAAGTACCAAGTAATGAAAGAAGCTTTTTCTTTAATAAAAGCAAGACTTAAAAACAAGTCTTACAATAACAGATAGCTTGAACAATCATTACACACTGTAACCAGCACACCTAAGGAACAGAAAGCAGATTTTGCTAGAGAATCACTTTAGATTCAGGTCAGAATTTATCTTCTCCTTTTCACATTAGGATCATACCTGTAACAAAAAAGAACATTTGTCACAAATAAATAAAACTCAATCATACTCAAAGTTAAAAATGTGATGTAAATAGCTTTATTATACATTCATAACAAGGGACTGGTCAGTGTTCAGTCCTTTCCCTGACTGCACTTCTACAATTGACTACAGTTACCAGAATTTGAGTGAAGGATGCATAAGCTGGAACCTGTACATGAACTAGAGCTAACCTTTACTAAAATTTTCAGACTTCCTAGCTACTTAGAATCTTTAAATCTGATGCATGAACAAGCTCCTCCAAGTCCCAGTGTTAAGTTCCTCACCAAAGGGGGGGGGGTTTAGGGGTAATGTGTATTCACAGCAACGCGCATTTGGCCACAACTTGTTCAGACAAAACCCTTCTACTGCTTCCTACTCCCACATAAAGCAGTTCCTTGCCTCACCTTCCCCTTTATAAAACTTGTGATTGATTTTTAATAATTTATAGTTACTTTCTGGATATACCAAACAGTTACCTGATTTACTGCAATATGCTTATAGTTTGCCTCTGCTTAACACTGCTATCCCTTGGCCTTCTCTTTCTCTCCATTTGTGCTTCATCACCCAAAATCCTGTGTCACTTTGAAATTCTGATGTGTTTTGTATTCATGCATGAATAATTTATGGACACAACTGAATGATCAGTCAGTTTTACTTCCACTAATTCTGTTCTCATTCATCCAGACTTTTTTTGCTTAGACAGGAAAATGTGACAACTTGTGAGCCAAACTGCATAATCACGTAACCAGAAAGGTATTAGAAGTCACTGCTGTTAATATACAACTCGGACTTCTGGCAAAAATGAAATGCCTACCCTTTGAAAAAAATGCTCTATTATTAACTATTAATTAACAGCCCCAGCTATTAATGCAGTAAGATTTTTCCGAATGGCTCTTACACATCTTGATATGGAGCATCATGTTTCTTTGATAGCGATTTGGACAAAAACATCCCTCTTAACCATACACGTTTTTCTACCTAAATGCACCATTTTAAGTGTTAGCCAAATACATGGCAGGTGGGAAGTCAAACAGTCACAGGTTGCTTGTTTCTTTACATAAAAACTAATAAAATAATGTTAAATAATAAGAAAATTATTAAAATAAGATCCTTATATTAAATCTCAAAGTATTTCTTTGAATTTACTGCTGTACCATTACAACACATCAGTTCTAACATTTAAGTATGTCCTGGACACCAAAACGTATTGAGGGGTAGCAAGGAGCTGGGGCAGGGGGAATATAAGCAGGTAGGAGAAGGGGATGATACATGATGGAAACCTGCAATCAGGACACCAACAGCTTCAACTCTTTGGCTGCCTATGGAGATGCTGACACTGACAGTCACGAATATCTTTTTATGTAATCTCCCCCACCTCACCTCCAGCCATTTTCCATGTTACACAAAGCTGGGATGATGTTTTCCAGGCAGAAAGAAACCAAACAACATTATCAGAAAAAGGAAACTGTACAGTGCCTGTGGCCTGAAATGGAAAGAGGACTACACAGATTCCACTGCTGTGAGAGAATGCACAAAGAAACAAAAGACTTTGCTGGGGACATGGAGTGAAAGACACAAAGAGCTACTACTGAACTTAATCCATTGATCTGTAGTCTTAGCAGGCAGTATGATGTGTGTTCCCTTCCTCCTCTGTCTTAGTGTGTACTCAGCAGCAGTTGAGGGTACAACTTTTCTTTCTAGCCCATCTTTACCTTGGAGTACTGCATGACTCTAATGGCATCCTCAAGCCCAATTTTCATGGAAAGTTGCAGCTGTTAATACTAGCATTATGCCAAGTAGCTTTACTCAGAATTAAGGACAAAATTGGAAGTAGGTTACAAACTGCTAAATATTAAACTGTGTGTTGTTAATGTTTTTGACTGTGGAAACTTCTACAACTATCCTAACTAAACTGGAGTTGAGGTAAAAACTTTTCTAAGCATGAACAGATGTTAATTATCTAAGATTCCACTGCTGTGTTTTGAAAGGCTGAAATTAATCAAAATACTTTGAACCAATAAGTATTCCAGCACAGTAATCAAGTTGCACCACGTTTTTATAAATCTCATCATAACTGATATATATTTAAAGGCTGTATTGCAGATGTAAAAACTGGATAAAGTAGCAAACTTGGCTTAGAACTTTTTTTTTAATTATGAAGTGATTATAAATCATTCAATTAGGATTACAGTTGAAAGTAACGGGACAGGAAATCAAACAAATAGGATGACTCTCTTTCAAAAGAGAGATTAGGGAAAGCGGTAGACAACTGAAGTGAGGGTTACTGAAAGAAAACTGCTGAAACAGACTGTATTTTAGAAGCAAATGTAATGAGTTATGGCAAAAAAGCAATGGCAAAACAGCCGAGATGAACCTGGACCTAACAAAGAAATCTCTGTAACTCCTGTGACATAACCACTGATTAAGACAGAATCAATGGCTCCAATACACTGTAAGGAGCATAGAATGATCAGTGTAAAAATGCCTCCTCTCCTCAGCCTGAAAACTGTAAAGATGGTATGGCATTCAGAGAGTTTCTAACAAGTAAAGAAAGGTAGGAGCTCTTTCACTGTGAACAGGTTTGAAAGCAGCTTAAGATTTCAAAGATAAGGGACAAAGAGGGGCCACACTGAAGGATTTGCTTAGGTTTTGGGGTTTTTTTTTAATTTTTCTTTTAAATTCTGGGGATCATTACTTCAAAAATAAAAAAGTAAAAAAAAAAAAGAAGACAGCAAAACTAGTATTCTGTTGCTTTAGCTCCTTCAAGCGACTCAGCACAGGGACAGACCAGTGCCATGGCCAGAATGAAAAAGTGGCAGATCCCATCACTTTTTCTTGGGAGTTTGGATAACTCACTTAATTGTAAGATCAAAACACTTCAGTAGTCTCTACCAAACACTAATGGCAGAAAGCCTGACACTGGAATCTCTTCCAGCCTTTGTGAACATTCAAGCTTGTGTATATGAGACAGGAAATAGCAACATTTTTGTTTGAGAATGTTCTTATTAAAAAATTGTAGCAAGTCTGAATGAAATTAAAAGTTTAAGGCATAAAAAAATTTGAGAGAAGTTGATGAGTCATTTGGGGTATATTCCATACATGGGAATACATGGAATTTTCAAAAGAACAAAGTAGTCTGCTACAAAACTGGAATTTGTTCAAGAAAGATGTGATGCAAAATATTCATATTTTAAAATACAAACATAAAACTCTTACCTAAATAGATCATCAGCAAGTGATTCTTCTCTTGCATGTCGGTTCTGTTCCTGAGAAAATAAGTTTATTCAATATTTGATGTCAAGGGTGAAGCTAATAAACAATATAGAAGAACAATATATCCCCGCACTAACACAGTTTGTCCTGAAGAACTAAGTTTTCTTTAAGTACTCCATTAAGTGCATACTGACATTAGATAATCTATTTCACTACTCAAGTTTGGCTACTACTCCAACTAATGGATTAGTTTGTGCAAGATATTTTGGTCAGAAATATATATCTGTATTAAGCATCATAATAGAAACAGGGATTTTTTTATCTGATTATTGCTGTATAAAGTGAATTTTAATTAGCATTACCTATACCCAGGGATTTTTTTTTTTTTTAAAAAAGGAGATAATCAAAAAGTTTATGTAATGGGGTCTCAATCAGGCTGTGGAAACAGAATTTGACTCATCAGCAAGTATTTTTAAAGAAATTACTAGAAAATATAATTCCAACAGAAGTTTACTCAGGTATTTTCTGTTCTGTTTAAGAGCAGAATATCAATTGTACTGTATATCAATTTGAACACAGCTAACCATACATAAGTTCTTCCTAGCTCCCTGTCACATTTATAGAAGTTATAAGTTTCCATAACGCTTATTAACAAAAAAATTTTAAAAAAATCATTCTCTTTTAGTTTACTGATTTTGCTTTAAATCAGTGTTTCCAATTATATGAATGTTGCATGTAAAATGAATTCAAATAATTAGCAAAAACATGAGCCTTACCACTGACCTCTGACTTTCAGTAACTTTTCTAATGTGTATGTTCCTACGAGTACGTGAGGACAGCTTAGTGGCTGAGGTTTTATTTAAAGAATAAAATTCTGAAATATTTCAGTAATGACCACAGGTTGGTATGACCACTGACATAAGTCAAGTTTTTGTTTGATCAACTTTAAGAAAAAATTCCTTACCTCCATTTCTTGTCTTAACCAGTCTTCTAGCTCTGAATTCTTTTTAGCATGGTGAGCAATCAAATCTGATCCTCCAATAATGTATGGAATTTGTCCTGCCCCTGGATAAGCTACCTATTGGACAATAAATTCTTACAATTACAATACAAGGCAGGCACACTGCAAGTAAAAGGTCTGTTTTAACAAATTCAGAAAGTCTATTCAGTTATTACAGAAGACAGTCAGTCTTTCTTTATTTGAATAACATTTATCAGAGATGATATTTAAAAGAGATTGAAGTGAAAAAAGCATTTGCAGAAAACTATTAACTCACTCCTTTTACCAAAAGAAAAAAACACAGCTCATAAGATCCATACGCTAAATAAATCTGACAGTACATTAAATGGAATTTGAAAACGTTATGAATTGATTTTTACTGACAGAAGCTATTTTCTCATCAGAATGCACAAGAATCTATTACAAAACAGTGGAACAGAAAATACTGTCAGAAATTTGACATGTTACCTAAAAATGAGAGTATACTCCCAGAAACCTGGAAGTTACATTATATGACTCTCATTCTCTACATAATATTGTTCTGAAATGCATTTCTAGTAATCTTATACCATATATTTTTTATTATTATTTTTATTATGAGCTGATGCAGTATTTTTACATTGAACTCTAAGAAACTTCTTGAAATTATCTTCAAGACCCAAGCAAGCGATAATCTTACTTTTGTAAGATACTGGATTTAGTTCTATTTAGAAACCAAAGATTTACTAGATAAAATGCAAGATTCTGAATCAGCATACGCTTTATATGTGGGTCTTTGGAGAAGTCAAATTGCTAGCTTTTGGAGGTATAACTGGAAATTATGGTAGGCATCACCTAATTACTTACTCCAAGTAACAGCTTAGAATAGAGGGTACAAGTATCTAAATAATCTAGCATGAGGGAAGCCTTTGTCAGCCTGGTACTTCTTTGGTCAATTAGCAAAATATCTGTTAACAGTATAATACAGTATTTAAATTGTTTCTTTCTGTAGTTACTACCAATTTTAAAAAACCTTTCATAATGTATTTCTACAATCTTAAGGCAATGCTTTTTAGTATTTTTAAACAGTGCCATCTTGTGACCATTTCAAATACACACTAACCTTTTTGAACATTTTGAAATTTCTCTTTCCCCCGTAGCTGTTATTTCCAGTAAGCTGACTGTTCTGTCTTGGATGGCTGACAACCAATGATCTAAACTCAGTCAACAAAAGTCTGCTAGGAAGATTGCTGGAGTCATCTTGAAGTTTGCTGTGGTTCTTATGTGGGAAGAAAAAGGAAGGAGCATTTCAAGTGTATAAACAGACATACAACACATCTAACAGCATAAACTTAGAAAAAAAAATCTAAAGAAACTAAATTATCAATTAAATTTTCAAATTAAAATCCAAACTTAAATTAAAATCTAAACTTAAATCAAGTTAAAATCTAAAGAAATTATAATGAGCACAGCTGAAGCAAAACTTAAGATTACAAAAGGGCAATGGGAAGTAGCAGCAGTGCTAGAAGCCAAGATGGATGAAGTTCTCAGCCTCCTTGTATACTACCAATAGAGCTGCGAGCTCAGTAAATTTATTTCTCTCATATTTACATCTGTTGAAAACACAGGATCATTAAAAACTGCAACAGTAATAATGAAGTTTATTATCAGTCACACATTTCACTAGGATTTTACTTCAAGATAAAACTTCAAGTTTGTTTCTTTTTCAGTTTAGCTAATATCTAAGCATTACTTCTCTCCTCCACTCCACCTTGCTTCTTACCTGAACTAATTTAATCAAGTATGCTTACTCTAATAGAAACTCCAGCGAACTCCAAGGAAGACAAAGAAGAATGTCTTCAGCTCAATTCTAGCCTGTAGATTTACCATTCTTCTTCTTTAGGGCTGATTTACCATTCAGCCCTGAAGTTACCATTCAGGCTAACTTTAGGGCTGTAAGCTGGATCCGATCAATGCAGCAACTTTTTCTTGTACATGAGGATGCTCTTATGTTGGCAAGTTTGCATGCACACTTTTCTGCTTGGGGATAGATCTATGTGGATTCAAAAGGAAGTCTGGGTGCAGGACAAGTTCGCACCAAATGTTAAACTATCTTCATGGACAGCTCCAGCTCAGATCCAGTAGAGTTGTTTTATAGCAAAGTATAAACTCTAAGTCCCTTAATCTGAGCCGACCCTGCATTTTGGTATACCTGCACAGCACCCCCTATTCTTGGACTGTTTTCTGGACATACATGAAAAGGTTTTATCCTGCCCCTTGTTCACTGGCTACACTCTCATTTCTTTCTTCAGAATCTTTCAATTTCAGTTTCATTTAGCCTTATAACCTTTTCCTCTGCCTCACTGCTATTCCCATCAGTTCTTCCCTCCTTACTTCATTCATCTCACCACTAACAAAGTTAGCACACCATCTACTGTTAATCAGTGTACACTCCATCTCTGTTCTCAGTGGTCCATCTCTTCCATTCTAGTTGCGATCTCCTTAGAGCAGACAAGGAGATTACATTCTTGTCTGGTCTTTAAGCATTAACCTAACAAAAAACATCTGTACAAGTATTAACCACGTTGAAAGGTTAATACAATTACATTAGGTTTCTGTAGTTTTGGTCATCTTAAGTATCCATCCAAATGCCACTAAAAAAAGCATGCAGATAACTACAGTTCTCTGTGTTCTCACAGTAAGTTTTCAGCCTCCTTGTATACTACCAATAGAGCTGCGAGCTCAGTACATTTTTCTCTCATATTTACATCTTTGAGTAATTACTCAAACTACAATATTACTCAAATTTACATGTGATTCTTTTAAGTACGATCTTCAGAACCTCCTTTATTCTGAATTAGGATCCACATATACTGTATTCTTAAAAGCAAAATTTTGATGCATTTTCTTAATGCTTCTCAATGTTTGCTGTTCAAACTTACAGTTAACTGGTTTCTTACCAAGACTGGCGACTCTTGCTTGATCTCACTTTTCCTTTCTGAAGTTAGAACTGATCCAAGCTCCTCTTCTTTCTATTTGATTGAAAATTATTTAAAGTGTAACACTGAAATGAAGTGCAAATTTAATTACATAAAATTGTTTTCTTCTCTTTACAGTGGAATAAACGTTGTCAAATATTCAAGTATTCTGCAGGTTGCTTTTCTCCCATAGTTTAAAACCAATTTGCCTTTCATAAATTATTTTCAGTGGTAGAAAAAAATCAGGTCAGCTTTATGCATCCTGTAGATTTTAAGTCAATTACTCACATTCTCTGTCTTGCCAGACAGACAAGGTGCATCTATACTTAAAAAA